CCAAAGACTATGATAGACTCTGATGACCCCCTATGGAAGGCCTCACCCTCCCTGGGGAGCAGAAAGGATATGGGACAGGTAGGATATTAGTTGAGGCGGGTGGTCGAGGAGGAGGGGAGGGGGTGGGAACTGGGATCGTCATGTAAAACAATCTTGTTTCTAATTCAAATAAAAAAATCTGAAAGAAAAAAAAAACCAAATCACTTGTGCACTACTTTTTCTGGTTGTTTGTTTCTTTTGTTGTGTGTACTTTACATTACATCTTTAAATTACAGTTATTTATTTACACATTTTTCTTTAAATTATACATATGTAATAATAAATTCCATTTTTCTTATGTGTACATTCAGAGCACATACATGGAGGTCACAGACAGGCAAAGGGATGACTCTATGATGCTACCACACAGGTGCAGCACGAGATTCAGGCTGGGAATCTTTCTGGCCTTTATTGTTGGTCAGGATTTAGCCATCCTCAGTCTGTTGTAAGCAAATTCCAGCCACTGCTGGTCGGGTGAGATGCCTTCCTTGTCTTGGGTCTCAGTCTTGACATTTTTCCATGGAGACACTAGGCTGGACCTTGAGGGTGATGCTCTTGCCCTTCTGGCACTTGCCAAATATTTCCATCTTTGTGTCTGTTTACCACGTAGTTGAAGAGAAAGAGGGTTCAGTACTAGGCGTTTATTTCTCCTTACTTTTGGAGCCAGGGAATGATGGCAGGGCCTCCGGGATTCTAAGCACATACTCCTCCCTTGAGACACACCTACTTTCTTCTGCAATGTTCAGTTTCTATCTCACCTTAAATTTATTTCATCTGCTATCTTTTTCTTATGTTTGTGGGTTTAAATATTATTGTTGCTGACTTGACACAGGTTTTCTGTAGAGCCCTGGCTCTCCTGGAGCTGGTTATGCAGAGCAGGCTGTGCTGGAACTCTCTGGTTCCCAAGTGTTTGGATTAAATGTATGGCCACCACAGCCAGGCACCCTGAACAGCCTTCCTCTGGTGGCCGATGGAAGCAGAAGCAGAACCTGTGGTTCTAAGCACTGATCCATACTCCTGGAATCCACTGGAAGAGAGGGAGGAGGGACTAGCAAAGCAGTGAAGACCGTGCTGGAGAAACCTACAGAACCAGCTGACCTGACCTAACGAGGGCACAGGGACCTCAGTCTTAAAGCTGGGGAACCAGCATTAGATGAACCAAGCCCTCTGAATGTGGGTGCCAGTCAGGAGGCCTGGGCAGTCTATAGGACCTCTAACAGTGGAGCCAGTATTTATCCCTAGAGCACAAATGGACATAGGGAGACCATTCCCTATGGAGGGATACTATTGCAGCCCAGATACACAGAGGAGGGCCTAGGCCTTTCCCCAAATGCTGTGTCAGACTTTGCTGATCCCGTATGGAAGGTCTCACTATCCTTGGGGAGTGGGTTGGGGGTGGGTTGGGGGATTAGTAGAGGGCATGGGAGGATGGGAGGGAGAGGGAAAGGGGATTGATATGTAAAATGACTGTTTCTAAACAAAAATGGAAGTGAAATAATTTTTTCAATTGATTGAAATGTCATGTCATTATGTATTATGATTTGATGGTTCAACTCCCACCCACTCCCTCTCCCTCTCTTACTGGTTCCGTCCTCACTGATCTGATTTGCTTTTTGATTCCTTCTGTGACCTGCTGGTTGTTGAAAAATCCACTGCCCCTTCTTACACTTAACTTTCTATTCTCTTCCTCCCGTGCAGTTCAATCTGTGCTTCTCAAATGCTTGGGCACTGTACCCGGGGCCACACTGTTAACGAAAACTGAGTCTCTACTGTTTTTTAGATTCTTAGTTGGGGTCCCCTGCACGTGAATGCCAGTTTGGGGTTCTATAGTTGGGCAACTATAGGGCAGATGGCTGGCAGTAAAACCAGTATTTATCCCTAGTGCATGAATTAGCTTTTTGTAGCCCATTCCCTCAGCCTAGATACAGTGGCGGGGGGCTAGGTCCTGCCCCAAATGATGTGACAGACTTTGATGCTGTCTCATGGGAGGCCCCTCTCTGAGGAGAGGATGGGAGGTGGGATGGGGAGATGACGGGGGGCAGTGGGATTGGGGAGTGAGAGGGAACTCGGACTGGAATGTAAAATAAGGGTTATTTTCATTTAAATAAAAAATTGATTAAAAGAGAAACCTGACTCTCCCTCTCCCCATATGGGTAAGATGGGAATCACTCTTCATCTATGGTGGGACACTGTGCCCATCTCCCATGCTCACCC